ATCTTCTTTACCCGATCGCCTGCATTATTCGATGCTCTTTTTTAGGTCGAATGACGTTTGTTTCACGATGCCTTAAAGCCTTTCGGTGTCGAGACGCGGGTGTTTGTATGAGACACAGCTGGCAGAGATCTGCAGCCTACTGAGTGCACTTTTCTTGTTAATATTGAACTATAAGCACTACAAAAAAGACCTAATACTTTAAGGTGGAGGAAAGATGAACCTTTGTCCGAGTGGAGAACAGGAACGCAGTGGCTCATTCAAGTCTCCTTTTGCCCTTTGGCCCCCATTTAACCCTCCTTGTCTGATACCTCCTGTAGCTGAAGACCAGCAAGCGGGTGTACAACTTCTGCGCTTCTGACGCGCCCAGCGCTCAGCTGTGGATGGACAAGATCCAGAACTGCATCTCCGATGCCTAAGCGATGCGCCTCGCGGCCCCCGAGCGCCGGCGTCAGCGGCGAGGACACCGGAGGAGGCACCGGGCGGCTCAGGGCAGAGACGTGAAATCCGCTCGACTCCGCTTTCGGCCGCCTTCGATTCGGGGGCCGCGGCGAACAAAGTGCCTGCAAGTAGAGAAAGAACACCAATCAGCCGCCTCTTTAGCAACTGTTAAGGGATGTCAGTGGAGTCGAACAAACGCATTGTGTCAGCTCCCTCCTCCGTGCCTCCAATAGAGATGAAGTGAAGATAAGCTGATGTTTGAGGGGACGGCGCTTCCAAGGAAACGCTATCCTACTCAAGCTGTAAATAGATCAAAGCAATATCACTGGCCAATCAAACTGTGGGTTCAATTTTAGATTTCTTTTTTGTTTTTTAAATAGCCTATAAAGTAGTTTCTATCGGATATTTTACCACGAGGAAAAGGTTATTGCTGCTTAAAGAAACGTATCCACTGCCAAAAACTCAGATTATAATGCACAACATGAAAAAACTATTTCTTTGCACTTGCCTCTAAAGTATGCACTCCTTATCCAATATACATTTCTTACAGGTGCAAACAGCGAGGCTAAAGGCATTACAATGTACATACATTTCCTCCAGACAGAATAAATGAAAGAAATTTGCACAGTGAATTCAAAAAGAGTTATCTGACATTTTTCTATTTAAATACGTGATCTTTTCTCTATTTTGTTAAATGTTTTATGGACTTCTGGATAACACGTGTCTGGTGTAATGTAAATTATTATTTTTTATTAAAAGTGTAGTGTGTGCAGGTGTAGCTGCTTTATGTTTTTCTGTAAATACCTGTGTGACATTTCATTTTATATACTGTATGATGTACTCAACATAAGTGTACTTTTCTAACCTTAATTCTAATGTGACAACAAGTCTTCTTTCATGTGTCGTTTCTGGTGCAAAAGCCTGAGTTGCCTGTTTCCCGTTTGTGATGAAACACTATTCTGAAAGTTAAATGGAGACCTTTCTTTTGTTGTTGTTGTTGGTGGTCATACTGTCAGGCTCTGTCTTTTAAGGGGTTTTAAAGAAATAAATCAATACATCTTGTCGGACATTGTAATTTTCAGAGATCCTCATCCTGTGTTTGTGCAACCGATTCACTTACATTTAGAAAAGAAAAAAAATTGAAACTAACAATCTTTGTACCATGTTCTGTGATGACACTAATATTTTGAAATAAATCAAACCTACTTGAAACTACTCTGTGCCAGTGTTCTAGTGGAAGAGAGTCAATACCAAAGGGATGTTTACTGTGTAAAAGTAGGAGGATAAATAAATGTAAAAGTTTTATTGATGTGGAAGCACAGAAATTATGTGGAACAAATAATATTCAAGCATGACAAGTACTGTTTATATTGTTAGTTATAAAAGTTATGTGTTGTATTATAACTAATGCATTAGAGGAACAATCTGCATGTTTTTGTTCCCATCAGAGTTACGCATGTTTGTTTTATGAACAAATTACAAATTTGGTTTACAAATATATGTGTATATATAGGGAGGATTTCTATGGGCTGAACTTGAGCCGACTCCCAATAAAAGATGGTCAAACCTTCAGATACCCAAATAAATGTTGCCTGCACGGGCTCCTCTTTAACTTGTGAAGTGAAGGCAGTTTATTCCTGCACAGGCATGTTTGCTAGACAACGATTAGATGCATGATCAGATCTTCAGTTGTTAACCACCTGGTAATGGAATGCCACATCATTTATAACATGCAAAGCTTCTTCCATTGTTATTCGGTCAGTTATTATTAGTGCTGTATCCCACACATCAAATGTTTGCATGCTAACCAGCTTGACTAAGCATTTACATTGTTAGTGCATTAGGGCACAAGGCACCGCTCTGCCTCGCAGAGCTGCCAGCATCACAGCAGGTCATACGATACAGGAAGAAAACCGAAACCATTTTAATCGCTCACGCTCTTGTAATGAACACCTTTTCGGCCGTGATTATGGGATTGGGCAACCTGGCGCCTGCTTGGCGGCCCTGAACGGGACCGCTGTGTCCCAAAGAGAGTTTGTCTCTCAGAGGAAAATAAAGGCCTGTAGAAGAGTAGCGAGGGCTTTTTGAAGGAGATTGTGTTTGTCCCTCATTGACGGTCTATCAGCTGGCTCGTAGTGGCAGCAGGTGCAGAGCATCTGGGAAGAGCCTCTGGCAGGCCTCTCCATATTTAGCCGTGTGCTTTGTGCACGGAGATTAGGCCCTCTGGCCATGAACAGAGGGAGCAGCGGAGGTTATCCAGCAGGATGGTGTTTAGTGGCATGATAGGAATCCTTTCCTCCGACGTGAGAAATACTCTACATACATTTCCCCCAATCATTGATTCCACATTCCTTGGACCGGACCAAACCATTCCATTAATGCTAATTATACATTCTAATTGCTGTTCCATGAGGTCAGTCAGGCTGCAGTGTATTTCATCTCTGAAGTCTTAAGACAAATAACTGATGAAAACATGTTATCCGCAAGAACGGTGTTTTTTTAGATGCAGTGTAATTGCGATCTTGTGTGACTTGGCTTAATGTTTAGAGATTTTTTTTGTGGTTAAATGGGAGTAACTATCACATGAAAAGGAAAATCAAAAGCAGAAATTTTAAGATTGCACCTATCTGTTGGTTTTTGGATGCCGTACATGCCTGTGTGACTTTGTACGACACACACACAGTCACAGCTGCAATAAATTCCTCTTTTCCAACCAAACAGCTTTAAAAAATAAGCTGTTTGGCCATTCCAATGTCCCCAAAAATACTCCAGACAGATGATACCCATTTATTTTATTGGTCCTCCAAATCCTATCATCCTTTTAGCCCCGTGGTCACAATGAATAGAAACTATGTTGCCATTTACATTTCCTGGGAGCCTCGGCAATGATGCATGATTCACTGCGGCCCCGCGGCCCTTGAGCAATCACCTGCTCTGAAATTCATCGAAAACGACTCCAAATACTGATCTCACTGTCTCGACACACATGATCGAGTCCCACCCTACAAATCAGGGTGATGTCAGCGGCCTGCAGCACATGGGGGTCCTGCAGGGAGGCGATCAAATGCATGTATCAACCGAGCTCCAGATGATCTTATCTGGACACCGACCTCTCATAAATGAGCCGAAAAAGCATAATTACAAATTTGATTTGTAGCTTGAAGGGCTATCACTCGGGTTTATGAAGTCTGCGTTTTGTTTGATTGGTGATTGTTTTCCACAGTGTCCACAGTCCGTTCTACCATGAGAAATGCTCAGGGCGGTGAGGTCACTGTGGGAAGTCATCTAAACCAGAGCAGCGGAATCTGCCAAACATTCTTCAACCAGTACACAATCCCCCGAAAAAGAAAAATGTCCTGCTTCAAATCCGTTGTGATGGGGATATTTTTGACAGGATTCCGATATATTTGTCATGGCCGTTATGGTACTTTTAGTACACATGAGGGGAGAGTGAGATCATTAGACACATCCTTATTTGGGGAATGTTGGGTAGGATTGTACAATTAAGATGTGGAGATTAGAAACTCCTAATTCTGACAATAGTATTTTCAAAAGAAAAAAAGGCAAAATGATTTTTTTACTGGGATGTAAATATACGGCTAGCAATGCATCAATCATCAACTGTTTGTTCTAATCTATTTGAATAGTCCCAATTTGAATGTGGCAAATGTTAAAGAACTGTAAGTAACGTAAGTAAGTGACCCATCAGTATAAAGAGATCTGCATGCCGCTGACTTTCTGATCACTGATGAACGGAGGTTCCTATCTGATTTCCTGCTCTGACAACTCTGAACTCGACATGAACTCCGCTTTCTTTTTTTTTCTGCTTTTGAGTAAAGACACTCAGTGTGCAGACACAAGACAAGTTTCATCCAGTTTCATCCAGTTTCACAGTTCCAATGACGGTGCATCTTTTTTTCTCTCTCCTAAAACGTGGGTGGAGAAGGAGACAGCGGTGAGGTGTACCGGCGAGAACAGCGGCCCTTTGTTGCACAGGGTGATTTGTTTTGACACAGACGCAGCAAAACGGAGCCGTCGTGCTGCAAGTCATGTGCATCGGGTGCGATTCATCTTGTTTTGAGATGACTGGAACAATGAAGTCATATTACGACAACATACAGGCCAAATCAGATCAGATGACAATAATTCTACAAAGAACGGTTGTCAGTGTAGAAAAACTCCCTTGTTGTCACTGAAAATATTCCCCAACAAACCTGCTAAAACTAAGTATCCGCTTTTAATAAATTTAATTTTGGGAGATGAATTAATGATTTTGGTTGAATTAACAACAGACTTCTATTTCCGCTTCCATCGCTCCTAAAGCATCTTAAAAAAAAGTACTCCATGCAAAGGAATGAATTAAACAAACATTGTCAGTGTTTGGGGGTTTAATTTACGGAGGAGCTTTGTCTTATAGTGACACCTGCTGGATGCTCGTAGTCAGAATACAGTAGAGTTGTGATGAAATTAAACCATCCAAAGAAAAGGAAAGAAAGGGAGAAAGCCTGATGCTTTTAGACACATTTAGGTGCGAGGATCTCTGAAATGAAAACAGCCATCAATTTTCATAGAAAATAGGGTGGGTTTTATTTTTTAATCATCTTAATAATGACTTAACCAGAATCAAATTAGCTAATAAACCAAACTACAGTCGAATGTAATCTACTGTTATACAACTAAAAGTTTATGTCAAAACACAAAAAACTGCAAAAGTAGTTGAATAGTTTTAGCGTAAATTATTTTGAATTTAAGGCGATCACCATCTCTAAGACTGCCGAGCAAACGGCATCGGCTAAGAATCTCCAAATGAAATGATTCAAGATCTTGTCAAACTATTTTCTATTGCTAGAATCGATAAACTGATGCAGTTAGTCACAGCTCTTTTATTTTACACTAACCCAAATCAAATCACATGGTTCACTGAGCCGCAGCCCCCTGGTTTTTACTCTCCTGCCAGGACTTCTTCCTTAGCTCCAGCTCGGCATCGGTGAATGAAGCCGGACCCCAGTTAGTGATCCTCTGAGGTCCTTTGTGACCTAAAAGACCGTATAAAAGACAATAATTGTATGCCTTTCTGCAAGATGGACGTAATCAAATCACTCATTTAGTGTTTCTGAAAGCAGAGCATTGTGGTGTGAAGTCTTGGGTTTTCCATGCTCTTAGGTTGCAAATCACTATACATGGTAAAAAGAATACCTGCATAGTACATTTAATTAGTATATTCTAAACGAAGGGCATTAATCTTCTTCTGTAACAACCTCCACTCTTCTGGAAAAATGTTATTGCGGTTGACAACTGTGCTGGGCAATGAGGCCCAGAGCTCCAGTTCATCTCAAAGGGATCAGACGGTTTTAATTGGATGGTTTTAATCGGACGGTTTTAAGCTCAGGGTTCTGGAAATAACAGTTCTTTCCACACCAAAATTGACAAGAAACATTTGCTTCTGCACCTCGTGCTCGGGAGCATTGTCATGTTGGAAAAGCTTTGACCAAATACCTCTGCTCATATAGTGAACCTCGCTTGAACTTTGGGGGCTAAAACTATTTTTGTAAATTAGGCTTAGATTCAAATCGTGTAACACCAAATTCTCCAAATTGAGAAGCCTTGTTGGCAGTTGTTAAATGCCGGTCAGATACATCCGTGTAATGTTGAATTATGAAACAATCAGTGTTCCTGTTTACCTGGCTGGATGAGACGCACCAGCCCCTCGTGTTTGGCCACCTTGTCCTTCCAAGTCTTGGTCTTGTTAGTTGCTCGTTCAAGCTTCATTGACATCTTCTGTAAGAACATAAAAAAAATACAAATATCAATACCCGGGGCTCAAACACTACCTTCTGCTAATGTTTAGTTTTCAGAAGAACGTTAACCTCCACATGTGTGACCTGACCTCGTACTGCTCCAGGGCTCCGTGCCGCTCCCTCTCCAGCGTCTCCAGCTGCAGCATGGCGGCCTGCAGGTCCCTCTCCTTGGCCCGCTGCTCGGCCACCAGCTCCTGCTTCTCAGCCTCGGTCTGGGATAGCGCCCTCTGCTGCTGCAGGTGGATCTGCTCCAGCTCTGCCCTCTTTGCTGCCTCCTCCTCCAGCAGCCTGTTATGGAAAGCACAACAATGCTGGATACACAATGCGACTCTCTTCATTCAGGCTGAGGACGGACAATTCACACCGGGGTAAATCTGCCCTGCATGTCTTTGGATTGTGGCGCGAAACCTACACTTAGGGAAACGTGCAAAATAAACACCCAAATACACTCATTATTTGACAATGTGAGGGTATTTCACCCATTAGTAGGCACGCAAGAGCATCATTTATCTAGGTTGTGCGTCTGAGACCTGGCCTGCAGCCTGCGCATGGCCTCCTCGTCCTGCTTGGCCTGCCTCTCGTCCTCCAAGGCCCCCTCCAGCCGGTGGTACATGTCCTCCAGCTCCCGGACGCGCTGGAGGTACTGGTCCAGCTCACAGGATTTCTGAGCCACCTGCTCCTCCATCTGCTGACGCACCTGATTGAATCAACACACACACACACACACACACACACGTGCAGTTTCACGTTGTTAAACCCTCGACTCTTGAACCGAGCAGTAATCTGTGTAACAGTTTAAATCTTCACATTTGACATTCTGTGATGTGACATTGCTGTATTCTAGCTGTACGTGTTGCTGCGATCATGTAATCTCATCTGAGCAAACAATGAAATGTTTTTCATCTTATGAAGGGATTTGTCTGTTTAGTCACTGGTTTAAGGGGGGGGGGGGGGATTAATACACTTGTGCGTGTGACACTCAGACAAAACATGACTCAACATCATGGGATGTAACATTAGTATATTTTTAGCAGGTGTTTACTGGAAGGAAGGAGCCACAAACAGTGACTGAATCAGACAACAGACAAAGACAATCTCAGTTGTCTTTGTCAAGACTAAACAAATTTGTTTTCTCTGTGAACTTTCTGTCGACGATGTGTCACCACATATGCAACAGCGTCACCGGCCCACGTGGTCGGGACAAAGGAGCCGCGTGGTGGACGGCAGACTGCGGCTCTGCGATCACCATTTTTTCTCTCTCCAGGTCCAGACGGTGGCGATCCTGCAGTTCTAACTCCGTCTGCTTCCTCCTGTGATCCTCCATCGCCGCTTCAGCTGCAGCCGCGTCTATTTTCTGTTGAGCACAAAAGAGGAAAGAGATATTTAGGGGAAGCCGCACAGAGGACCTTTATGTAGACACTTCAGAAAGGTTCGGTGTGCATTTCTAGGTCAAGAATAATTTATTGAAAAATAATATTTTCCTTGCAGTCTTACATAAAAAGATCCATCGATAATAAATAAATAAAGGTTATGGAACTTTCAACATGATCAGTAATTGGAAATGTAAAGATAAATGTGTTTGACATTTAGAGAAAAAACATTTGGCGGGTAAAATGGAGAAGTGAGAGAGGAGCTACAATCTGCTGCAGCTCCGAGTCAACTGAGTTCACAGGCCTGTCCTCTCCGCAGGTGTCTCTGACTGAAAAATGCTTTCTTTGCATAAAAGGTTTTGCTTCCCTTTTTTAACATGAATGTTCTGCTGCATCTTGTGTGATTTTTTTTGCAATGTTTATTTTTTTAAATCTCAAACCATAATATGTGACAGACGGGAAGTAGCAAGTAACTCATATTTAGAGCATCTCAGACTTTGATTTGAAGATGACTAACCCACTATAACTCCAAAGCAGATTATTTTACTCTTGTGTGACGTGTTTCCTCAGGATATTTTCCCTATATAAACCCCACCGGGGTATTTTGGAGCCAGTAGTTTTTTTGTGTTATTAGATTGTGTTTACAGAATATAACTCTATTTAAATGTTTGGGCACCACATCCTGTTAAAAGGTGCAACTTCCTGTTGTAGAGAAAATATTGTTGCTGTCTGAGACTGAAACATGATTTGACCCACGACTCCCGTGTAAACTAATCGAGTTGTGCGAATGCTTTCCGGACCCCAAAAGGCCTCCTTGTCAAAGCCGGTTGAAGTGGAGCCTGGACACGTACCCTCCTCATACCCTCCAGCTGTCTCTGCTTGTTCTCGTTCACCACCTGGAGCTGCCTCATCCTCTCGCTCACGTCGTCCTCCTCCGCCTGTTGCCTCTGCCGCAGCTCCTTGCGCCGCAGCCGGGCTTCGCGGTGAGGAGACGACAGCCCCAACCTCAGCAGCCGGATGCATGTTTGAATAGCTGCCGCGACCCGCGGCCAGATTGAGACAAATCGGAGATTCATGAGACCGTGGTGAAGAAAATAAAGTGGTGATTATGAGACTCAGTTACGGAGAAGAGGAGGATGACTACTTTGTACCTTGAAGCCATTCCTGCTTCTTCTTTTTATCCGATGCACTAATCTCAAAGCTTTTATCCATGCACTTGATAATGAAGAGGCATTTCTTCCCTTCTTTATCTGGCAGAGACTGGAGAAGAGAATTTGGTTTTATACATTATAGCCCCTTTGTACCTAAATTCTAACATTATCAATTGTTTCTAAACTAAATAAAACCCTTCAGGGAATATCAGTTATACAGTAAGTCAAGTCAAATGATTGTCAACTTACCTGTTGTGCACACTTATAGACTTTAGTTAAAAACACACCTCCACACAGCATGTTCGGTCCAGAATTATGTCTCCCTTCTTCTCCAAGAGATCCTCACAGACGTAGTATGACAGCGAATTGGGTCGAAGAACAAACCAGCGCTCTGTCCAGTTCTTCCTTTTGTGTCCCTTTTTCATCATGTATCCCTTTGAAACACCGTGTAAGCAAAACACTCTTGAATTGCCTGATATTCATTGCGCTGTAATTACCGGGATGCTCTAAACCTAACGTGTGACGTTATGGGCTGGCTATGCACACAGTACTCCTCATAAATATCTGGTCTTACCTGCTTGAGCACATCCAGAATGAGTTCCTGGAAGACTTCGGTGATACCCATGGACAGGATCTGTGAGTTCAAGCCGTGGCTGAAGTAACCCATCCCCAGCAGTTCGATCAGCTCCCAGGCCGTCAGGCAGTTATTCTTTGTGTGGAGCTGCAGCTTGTAATCTGCAAACTTCTCCTCACTCCATCCACTCCCCATAGCCTCCGACAGCCTTTGCAGGAAGTACTCAATCTGGGGAGGAAAAAAAGCGCTTTAAAACCGTGACAAACCCCACAGAGAACCATTGGAAGGATCTTCCTCACCTCTTCGGTGACGATGACGAGTGGGTATTTGTCTTCGGACAAAAAGTTGAAAATGCACCAGACTTTGAAAGCTTTGTCTTCCGAGAAGAGGAGACGCTTAGTGCAGATATTTTTCTTGTAGCACAGTAGCCAGCAAATCTTGTTGAATTCCACCAAATCAAATTCCCCGTGCACCTGGGAACAAAACACCCCATTCAGTCAAAGTCAAACTGGTCAGCACCAGTGAGGGCAGCGTGTTTACAAATGCTAAGCAGGAGGCCGGTGTTTGTCTCCTTTCAAAAACATCCAGTCTGCAGGATGTGAAGTACAGACCTGATGTAATTAGATGCCTCATTTTTATTCAAGTCAGAACCCACAAGAGAAAGGCAAGAAAACAGCTTCCAAGTAAAAAGAATGAAACTAAAGGAGCTTACCAACAGACATGAGACTTCTGAAGATGTGTTTGTGGAGGCTTACACTGTGCGTGCTGGGCTACAGGGTAAAAACTCCAATGGAGGCAACATTGAGCAGAGAGTATAAGCATGCTAGCCCTTTTGCCTAAATATATATTAGTCTACTATTGAATAAAAATAGACAAAGTGCATTGTTCCGTGCCAAAGTACTGTTTCCTCTCCCACATAACCAAACGGGTCATGATTAGTCATCCGCATCAGTGTCACACACCCTTCAAAAGAGATGTTGTTTTCATTTCATTGTTTATGTAACTGTCTAAGTAGGTTTGAATTGAAGGCCTTTTTACTCATAGCAAAGTGTAACGTTCAGCATAGACTCTCATTGCTACACCAGTACTTCTTAGCAGTGACCCAAATGCAATCAGCGGCACCGCGAACACATATAGAAAACTGTCAAGTCCCAACAACTGGCTTTTTACTTTTGGCCAGATGTGCTATTTTGTTTACTTTTTGATAAGATAGTCCCTGAATGTAGACACGAGGCCTCTTCTATGAACAACCCAAATGTCCTTCTTAGATATCTGTGGTTACTTTTTCTTTTGCATGTCTGTTGATTTAGTTTTTTCCTGCAGTCAGTTGACTGCTAACTAAGGTAACCACAATGCTAACTGACTAACAACAAGCTACGGCGTTGCTTATATACCATTCTAACTTAATTTACTGTTGAGCTAAAAGTTATGTATTTTCCTCCTTTCTTCTGGAATAAAGAACAATACAACTGATTCATTGTCAGCTACTAATAAACTGGGCAGTAGAAACTATTCTTAAAAACTACACAGCTTAAACAATCAACTCAAACGACACCTTGCCGTGGTAAGTTTTGCAAATGACGTGTCACCGGAATTAAAAACACAGTACTATTCCAACATATTTGTCCCCACCTTGTCTAGAATGAACTTGTTGAGGTAAGGCATGTACCCTTGGTTGGACAGAGGCCCTTTATTGTCATCTTTGAAATGCTCCTCAAGGGCCACCGGATCATGAGGGATCTTCATCACTGTGCACAAGCTGTGGGAAAGCACCTGTCAAGAAACAATATTCTATGTGAATGGTATAATAGCATAAGAAGAACAGGTCAGGGGCGTATAATATACATATACAGGTATATATAAATATACCAAATGGTCATATTATGGGCGAGTTGAACATGAAACTCAACATTGCTTTTACAGTTTGTTGATTTCCCAAAAGCTCATGCAAAAACCTTTCACCATCCTTCGCAGGCTTCACCAGCCAAGCGATACTTGTTGTTCTGGAAGGTGAAATCTCGCCCCTTCGGGTAAAGTAAAATGAGAGCATTGTATCATACACACACACAAATACACACAAATACTGGTCTGACCTCACAATGGGAGGAAAATAAGTGGCATGCAGGAGACGCATGTAACGTCCGAACAAAAACAGTTACAACTATTTTAACAATAGGGTCAAAGTAAAAGTGAAATAACACATTTTGGATAAAATAGGCCTCGCGTCATCCATTACACCAGCGACCAGCGTGATGATGGAGATTAAAAGAAAAGCATTGCGCGTCTCGGTTACATCAACAACTAACACAGCGGTGGGGAATCAAGATGAAGTACACAGTAAATGGGAGAGGCATCCAAAAAACACACACTACAATAATAAAAGAGAACTGAAACACACCTTCAACTGAGATTTGGAAACTTTCCCACGATGGTCCACGTCCAGGGCTGTGAACGCGTGCCATATGGACTTCAAAAGCTCCTCTCGAAGCCACATTTTGTCTCCCGTGAGCAGCAGCAGAGGAGCTCCGTCCCTCAGCGGTGCGTCGTCGCCTGTGTGTCTCACGTGCGCCTCTCACGCGCACTCATAGGTGGCGGCACAGCGCAGAGACGCGTGATGATTGCGCCACGACGCGTTCGATTCCATCTCTTTTCCTCATGCAAACTCTTGACAAAAACCAACCCACGTGAGCTGTTTCATCAATTCAAAACCGCGAGGGGGCTTTTCAAAGCGGGCTGCGCTTTGAACAATGATAAAAAAACAACAAGTTACTAATACAAATATGCATGAAATATAGAAACTATTTCCAAACGCTCCAGCTGCACTATTTCCACGTTTGTTATCAAACATGTTTTAACATGTTATAATACTTTTCTTTTAAAGAATATTTTACTTACTGATTAGTCAAAAGTTAATGAATATTTGTGACTCTCCTTGAAACGAGCAGGGAAGAAGAACCTCTTAAAGAATGTAATTTGACTGTTTCGTTGTAAAAAAAATATTTTTTGTGAATGAGGGCAACCAGTAGGGGGGTCACCTTCCCTTCTGTTGGAAGCCCCGTACATAACATAGGGCAAGTTTTGCCAACGTTATGCCGAGAACTACATTTCCCAAGCACCTCTACTCTCCATGCCGGATGTTCGTGTTGCACAAATTTGGCGCTGTTCTATCCGGGTACTTTTTTTCACTGCTTCCTTTCGCGCCGGGTAACCGGAGAGCCGTGCGTCCATGTGCGCAGTGACTGGGAACTGGTAGACTTCTGAAATAAATAAAAAATCCGAGCCGTGAGCAGAGTTTTCGCAATGGATCCCGAGTCTTTGGTCGAGGCCCTGCGGGGCACGATGGACCCCAATCTACGGGAGGCCGCGGAGAGACAGCTGAACGAGGTAAAAGTTGAGCTCGGCGTTAATAGTGATGGAGGTTGTGGCGCGGCGCTCCGTCGGGCCTCGGCCGTTCACAACATCAAGATGGAGCGGTCACGCAGGCTGCGCTGTGCTACCGCCGCTGTGACAGACCGCGGGCTAAATTTCGCCACTCAAATAGCGGTTATACTTGGCACAGCGCGACCTCTTTCCCATCAACTACGTTGAGCCGTTAATATGAATCCAATCCTGTTTTAATTTGGATGACACTCCTGTGTCAGGAACCGACGTTAGCTTCATATGAAGCCAGCTGTGTCGCTAATGCTAACTCGAACCAGCTAACGTTAGCTCCGCTGGGGAGATAATTATTAGGTCGCCACCCACATTTTTTGGTATGGTTGTGTCAATGTCGGAGCTGACACGACGTAAGAATAACACTGGACACGCGATAAACCACACGCGAAGCACCTTCAAACGCGGGGGGTGTGCTAGTTAGCGTATTTGACCGTTTGATACTAGTCTTAGCTGTGCGGCTAACGTCGGCTAGCTAAGTTAGCTTACTTTTTGGATAGCTCCGCTACAAAGCTGCTGCTCACGTGTCACTGACAAGCCCTTAAGTGGTGACATTATTCAGCAACACAAGGATGGTTCTTAATAGACTTAAGTCCCGTTGTTACTTCGCGTAGCATGTATTTATTAGGAGATTTGGGGCTTCGTGGCTACTCCGCCAAACGTATCACATTTTAAGTTGTTCGTTAGCAGAGTTCCACGTGAGCTACCGTTACCCAGTTAGCGAGTCCGGGTCAAGCAGCCGAGCTGTTATAAAAGCGCTGATCTCCTGTTAGTGGTTCCTCCCGGGTTTTAACTATGTGGTTAACAACTTACACTTTGGGGAGTTTACAACTCTAACGTTAGTTAGTTCGTTGCATTGGTAAACGTATTATATAACGTTACTATATAGTATTTTAGTTTGCATTTATGTACTGGACTTGACTCGAGGTTATAGAGTCCTCATTTGACACGTGTCGTTATGTATAGTTACGGATAATATTAATAATTTAGCATAGTTTCCCCTTTTTAAAAATGTCTTATCGGTCCTAAATATAACTGAAAGCCTTCATGTCATGATGGCGTCGTTGTTCCTGAAGATGTTTAGAAGTCAGATATTGTTTCAGTCAGCTGTAATTGATGACGAAGACGACGCCTAATTTGTGCGTGACGTGTGCAACAGCCTGCACATAGCGGCGCTATCCAAGTCACTGTACATACAAGCGATGATAATCCTGCCAAAGCACATGTGTGTTCAGCATGTTTTTCCCCTCTTCCTCCACGTTTATTTTTGGCAGTGAAAATGTCTTGTTTTGTTCACACCCACCGTTGCATTGATAGTAATGACTCACTTGAAGGGCATGGCGAGTATTGTGTGCACTTTAAAAATAGTGCATATCTTAGCAATACGGTGCTTTGCTTTGTACTCTGTCCTCTGACTTTGGTTTTTGAGGAAAATGCTCAGAAAAAAATAATTACAACATGAAAATATTAGTTAATTACATGATCTTTGAAACCCATGGGATTTATTTTTTATTTTCTGACATGTGCCATGTCGCATATCAACAACATTCACAAACGTCTGTAAGGTAAACCTAATGCCTACCGAACTTGCCACAACCTCATGCCTTAATTCCTCTTAAGTAGGATTTATGCCAATAATATGAACCCGAATCTCAACGTTTGTTTTACGACTGCTTTCCTTATAACCGTTGTCTGTTCTGATTTTTCAGGGTCACTCCCAGGTGAACTTTCTGTCCACTCTGCTGCGGGTCACTATGTCTGATCAGCTGGACTTACCTGTCAGGCAAGCAGGTAAGTCTAGACCTTGGCTTGTGAAAAAAAAAAAGTTGTGCCGTCCTATGAAAGATGATCTTTAATATAAAACTCGATGGGACATAAAATCCCTCTTATTCATGGTAGTAGTTGCCAACCGTAAAGGTAATATCCTGTTTTCATTCCTGGCTCATTTACAATTTCTATTAGATCAAAAACAACCATATTTTCTTCATTTCAGTAGCATTCTGTTACCTCCTTCAGAGAGAAACTGACCGAGGAGACATTTAATCAAATTAGTCTTCAAGATTGCACTTTAAATGAATCACTCAAAATGAATGTGTAGTCCTTGTTATCTGCTGGCAGCTAGAAGAGCAGAACCAGAAAATCTTTACATTCAACTGATTTGAAGTAAAGCTGAGATGGACATTCAATACAGACTGATAAGAGTTAATGTTTTAATGTTAAATTCACAGCTCTCATATGCAAGGACTTCGCAACTGAGCTCAAATCCCTAAATATAAATTCAGTTAGATTGAGATATGAAGACATAATTATTTAATTATTTTCAATCAATGCTCAAACTAAAGAATATCACATATGCTGAGGAATTTAAGTGGTCATTTTCTATTTCCACCGCTATGTGGGTTGTCTCTGGCTCTGTGTTACTCACCACTTTATCAAATTGTATCCATTTGCAATATGACAAATTGACTAGATATTCTCCATCAGCCCAAGTTAAACGGCTCACTTGTATAACGGTTTCCGAAAAGATAATTGAGCTATGTTGCGTTTTTTCACACTTTTTGTGTGTGGCTGAAGTGCCTCTATGAGGAGCATTGGACACGTGCAGTCTGTAAAATATAGCTTGTTTCTCTTGTCAAATGCTGCTCTCACTTATGCAGTTTGATTTACAGCATTTCCTGTGTCAATATCTCAGAGCGCTACAACACAAGTGTCGGCTGATGAGACCACGGAGACGCTGGCGACTGCTTGACTGCAGTCTGTCATGCGGGCATTGTGCTCCCAATCTCTGAGAAACATTTTAAGTAGAAATGGCCCTTTGTTTACTTTGCAGTGTTTACCATTGCAGTGAATCATGTCCGTTAAACGCTTCTGTTGAAATGCGCGTTGTCCTTTCTACTTGTTTTGTGTATTTGGTTGAAACACAAAGGGTGGACGGCTTGTTAATCCGGTGGCTTTCTAGCTTTGTTGGAAAGCCGTCAAATATGCTTTTTCGTGAAAACTGTCTTATGATTTAATTTGGCTCTATAAATATTTTATGTGAGTAGATGATTGAAGGCATCAGTGACTATTAAATGTGGGTTTGAGTAGTTTTTGAATCCGTTTTGGCAGCATGTCCATTACATGATATTTTAAAGATCTCTGTCTGAGATTTTTTTCTGCCAACTTTTTTTTCCTTTCTTCCCTTATTCCATTCATCATTTGAGGACTTTGGCTGTAACAACCTATCATCCCTTGCAAACGAGCACCTCTGTGGCACAGCTGTATTGTACCATGTTTAATTAGTCATTTGCTACCATATGTTAAATCTTCACTTAACTAGACATTTTCAAGTAAGTAATTTTCCTCCTGCCCACAACTCTTAATTTCTACGATGGCTTCATAGTTTCGTTGCAGTGATGGAGTGGTTTGTCGGTCCCCCGCCGATTGGTCGGGGTTTGTGCTCAGTCAGCTTTGATAGACGGGATTATGATCGTCCCGCTAGTGGTGCAGACATTAGTGTCAGCAGTCTGACGTTCGCTTCCCGGCCCCCACTCGTCCACTCCCCCAGACACCTCGGAGCGGCGCCCACATGGTAGATGTGAACCCGACTCACTCATCTGCCACATTCCAAACTACTGAACTACAGCTGGAGGAATTTATTTCAACGTTTACAGCCATGGTGATGCAAGTGCAGTCGATATGATGGGTGCACATTCAAGAGGTGCATGAGGTTGTACACATTTGGTTTTTAAAATCCTATACATTGTGTAAAATCTCACCGTATCATCTGCTGCTTTACAGAGCACTCTCACTTGCCCTGGTGTGTGCAAGACAAGGAACATTTAGCTCTTCCTCAAAGAAAATATGCCTATTCTGTAGTGTTTTGCTGTTAAAGGGCTCACCCTAGTGCTGTTCCCTCAGGTGTGATTTACCTTAAGAACATGATAACCCAACACTGGAGTGATGGTGAGGCTTCAAGCACAGAGACTCCCGTCAATAACATCCCTGATGACGACAGGCTCTTTATTCGAGACAACATAGTGGAGGCTATCATCCACTCCCCAGAGCGCATCAGGTAAAGGCACACAAACCCCCACAACCACCCATCCTCTTTTCTGATGTCTACATGTGGATAATAAAAATGTGACTAATGTGCTTTTGAACTTGTCAGAGTTCAGTTGACCACATGTATCCACCACATGATCAAGCATGA